TTCAATATTATAGGCTATTCCTTGATGAATGATTTGGAATTAACATTCAAAAAAAAAAATTAGCGTCTTCATCCCGTGCTTCATCATAAACCCTGAGCATATTTAGGGTTGCAACTAGTTGCAAGAAGGAAGTTGACCACTGCTTCAGCAAGTAGAGAACTGGTTGCTGCAACAAATGATGAAAATTGGCTACTGCACCTACTTCTGCTAGACAAGAATTCCAACAAAAAGATTACCTGTGGGGAGAATTTGAGGAAGTGTCTGCTGCTCGGCTGAAAATATTCTGGAGGAGGCTCTGCAGAAAAAAAATTTCGGTTATAGGGAGAGTTCTGGAGGCAAAAGAGAATAGAGAAGGATCTAAAAGAAGAAATCTGACTGAGTAAGGCCTCTAGGAAGAATACTGACAGTTGGGAAGAGTTCTGCTGCCTCTGGTGCACAGCAGGAAAAATGCTGTTGCTCCAGGAAAGAGCAAATTTTGACGATTGGAAAAAATTATTGTGGTTGAATGCAAACAAGCCGGCAGATTTTCTGAGCCGGAAGATGGAAATATGATAGAGGGAAGCTGGGTTCGGCAGAGGGGATTCGGGCCTGCAGGGAATAATAGATATGGTCTGCAGTGTTGTAGATGTGGGCTTTCAAGCTGCCAAAGGAATCTGGCAGAAATTCATATACGGAAGATGCAAGCCTGCAGCGAAATTAGGACACAGCTAGTTGCAGCTACTTTTGTCGCTGCTGCAGACGTGTGATGCAGCAGTTCAGGAAAAAAGTAGCCCGACAGAGAAATACCCCCATAGGAAATTCTGGCTGAGTACCAGTAGATATGCAGCACAGAAAACAGGCTGCAGGAAGAATTTATGGTGGCCGAAAATGTTGAGGAGGATTTTTGGCTACCTGCATGGATTTCCAGTGCCAGGGAAGAGGACTGCATGAAGAAAGAAACCTCTGCAGGGATATCCAGCACCAGAGAAGGGGACTGCAGCGAGAAATAGGTCTGCATCGAGGATTTCCGACTGTAGAAGGAGGTCCAACGGCTAACGTAAGGTCTAAAGCTCCACCTTGTAAAAAACGGATTTAAAGAGGAATAATTCTGTTTCTTCTTCATTCAAAAATAGGGTACATATTTATTAGAAAATCAATCCCTCTTTATTTACAAACTCACCAACTCATATAAATTAGAAAAAGAAAAATACTAGTCATTGTTGTGGTATATATATATATATATATATAATAGAACGGGAATAAACAAATTAAATGCTTCCTAAAATATCTCAATCAAATCCTTCAAAATTTGGAGATAATGGTGGGCCCACACAAGAGAGGTAAATATGTAAAGAACAAAATATTCTACGATTTTCAAAGGAACACATGTCCATCAATGACTTGTAAGAATCAATGTTCATGTTAGTGTGTCATGAGGATATCAATGCATTGACAAATGTAACATTACACCTTAAATTGTAAAAAAATCCCACATCCATGCCAATGAATTTCATATTATGAAGTCTAAATGACTATAATTCCCCTTTAGGATGGAAAAATCATCTAAATAGTCTTTCATGCCCCAATTTATCACAATAACCCTGAATTTATTAACACAAAACATAATATCAACCAACCAGAGCAAGCATAAATGCCAACAATCCACTTTTACAGCCCAAATATATGTTCATCATCATCAAAATCACAAAGCATTGCACCAATATTACAAGAAATATGTTAACGACATTGCAAATTTTAAAGCATGGGCAAAGGAACAAAGCTTAGTTAGCCCCTCCTTGAAATGCAACACATGTTCAAATCGAAGTGCCACTCCACTTTCTCTATGTACATGGTCAATCCCTTCAATCGAACAGTAAAATCAAGTAATGGAAACGAGCTCCAACTTCCATCCGAAATGTATGGTCTGGCCACCCAAATTAAAGAAGAAAACTGTTTGCAAATTGGAACCATGCTCCTTCCAACTATGAATTGGGTGCTTTGAGTGCTATGATTAACTTTGTTATTTCTTTGCCTTCCTTTAAAGTTATAGCTATCTAATCAATCCTTGTAATGCTTCATAAGTGACTCATCTATAAAGTACTCTATAAATAACAAAGTTGTGTTACTATATATTTTGGTCATTGATTAACAAAATTTTGGTTTGCTCTTCTTAAATTCACGGAATAAAGCCTGGTGGCTTGTTCCCATGCTTGAAGAGGCTTGGCGCCCAATTCAAACTCTTAACAATTTGGGGAGGACAGGGTTTACCATGTCAAGTGTTATTCTTGTTCTACCCCTCCCTCAATTTTGCTCATCCCTCCAAAGCCTTGGCAATCTTCAAACGCCTTCACATTACATTGGAAATATCCCAAAACATTCTCTTAGCCCAAAAAAATAACCATCCACTTTTCGCTATCTCCACTAGCCTCGAGACAACTTTCACCCCTCAACATACCTTCAAAGCAACCCTTACTACTCTCATACCTTCACTAGATAACCCTCCTAAACCCGACTAACCACAATCCACCTCTGACCGCACATAACCAAAATATAACTCTAGTCCACAACAAAATCAATGCTAAATAAATAAGACAATCCAAGCTTGTAATTTTTGGCCTTTTCAATAACATGCACCAACACCAACTCTAAAGCTCTACAAACAGTTCAACTCAACATCATCATCCCATGTAACTAACATTCAAATTAGCTTCATCTTCAAGATCTTCCAACTGCTATTAACATATTTAGAGCTTACTGGTTACCAATTGATCCAAAGGTCTAAGCGAGTCATCACCTCAATATTTGAGTTAAAGTACATGCAAAATCAATTTCAATTCTAATCATTGGGCCACTCTCTAGCTAAGATTTGTAAGACCTAACGTTTGACATTATGAGTCAATTAAAAGCCAATGAGAGCCGGTGAGAGGCGACAGCAGCGAGAACGAATGGAGAAGAGAAGGGGATCAGGATTTTGCCCTAAAGCCGCGGTGAAAGAATGGAGGGGGCAGAAGGAGAATCGAGGGGTATTTGCGGGCACATAAGAGGGGATTACAACATTTGCAAAGGGGTAACAAAGAGACTTCGCACTGGAAACGAAGCCAAAGCCATGGAAAGCACCTACTCCCCTTGTTCCCACTTCCTCTTTCACTGTTTCGCCGACGACTTGTGTTGAAAAGCTACCAGAGAGCCACCTGCCAAACACTCCAAATCGCGTTTTCAAAATGATAAGCATCCAAAATGGCACCCCAAACACACCCTAAGTCTCAAATGATTTCAGGCTAAAACCATGATCATGAAGCCCAAGCTCTCTCCTTGAAGTAGCTACCTACAAATAATTCCAACCAAACTCAATCTAGAAGCTAGCATATGCCATTTGCATTAACTTTCAATTGACACAGACCCTCCTTCAAAATGTAAGCCCCGGCTTTCAAAATTAAGAGAATCAGATTGAGTTGAGGCCATAAGTTCTCTAAATAAATCAGATTGACTTAGGCTAGGTGACAACAACTAGGGTAGTCACATCTACGCATCGAGGTTGGAAAAGAGCCCCAACATTTAAAAACCCATCGCATTTTCACACATTCTTTCTCTATGAAGTGAGAGTGAGAGAGAGAAAGAATGTGATAAATATAGGCTGGAGGGTGGTTTTTCAATCCATCCCATCCTCAAACTACTCAACCCATTTTGAAGTGACAGGAGACATGCTGGGCAGAATACATATTAAAAGGGTAATTGAGTAATTCAATGACTACACTCACGGTTAAAGAATTATATCCTTAGTTATGAAAAACAATGGGACCAAATCAAGGGTTTGAAAAAAAAATTTAACCAAACTCCAATATCATAAAAGATAGTAAGTTCAACATGCAAAATGCCCAACAAATAATAGCAGACGCTGAACAATATAGTTATTCAACAATAGAAAACCCCATTGTAATGTCATAAAAGTCATAACATTCAATGTACAAAATCCCCATTTTGGTATGCAAGATAATTATATGTTTATGTTTTTAATGTCCATGGCTCTCCTGATGTTCTTTCCAAGTTACAAATTGGTTGGGCCTGTCAAATGGGCCATCCTTACCTACTTGATAGAATATATTCTAGATAAGATGATTGAACACCGTATGTGTTGCTATCATATAGTTCATTATTTTATCAATTTACCAAATTATAAAATAAAGCTGTTCACACATGTAGGTATTTGCACACACCAGATAATGAATTCATATTCATGTAAGAGAGATTTTTACACATGAAACATGAAAAGAGCAACACAGACTAGGAGCGTGAATCCATATCTCTAGTAATCATATTCTACTTGGCAATCAAAATTTTTGTACAATTCCAGACAAAATCTTGATGCAGTATAAGGATTCTTATGTAAGTCGATGCAAATATAATTGATTGATTCACAATTTTTATGCCATCTATATCAATTTCTACATTAATATGCAGAAATGAAATATCATTGAGTAGAAGAAAGAGATGAATCATGAAAGAAGAGATATAAAAAGCAAGACGAATCAATGCAATATTGTCCTAGTATAACTCATGTTCTCTTGCTCGGTTTACAAGGACGCATCTTCTTTTTTTTCTTTTAATGCTTTGTTTGGAAGAGTTAAGTGGTGTGTTCAGATCTGGATACATTTTGAAGATGGTCCAAGAAAAACCTTATTCCAAAAGGCAAAGAGGGCCTTGGCAGTGAAGAGCAATGTTCACAATCTACAGTTTGGTATAATTGTGATTCTGAAAACTGATATTGATTCAACAAAGTATATCCAAATTGCAAGAACTTATATAGAAACCATATTACAAACACGTCTGACTGTCATATTTCTACAGTTTTCTTATATTATTTGATTATAAGCATTCCACACTAGGCCTCTAAACTCTGCATGTAAGAACAAGAAGACCTTAAGATGCACAAACAGAAAGTAAAGATATGGAATATTCTATAATGAAGAATGCAAAGTCTACATAAACACAAAGCTACTATAGCAATTGAGTGTATTACTGACCTGTTTAAAGATGGTGCTTGTTCCTGCTCCTGGATATCCAAGTAGTAAAAGTTTTTGGATCCTTTTAGGCTCCAAGTACTCAGGAACTGTTCTAGCTGAATAGGGAGCCTCAGTCCTTGTTCTATGTGAGGTAGTATGAGGGACAGGCAATGAAAATAAAGAACATGCTATCCTTGTTAATGCCTGCCAAATATAAGAAAAATGGTGCTTGAAGTAATGAAAATCAAAAAATTTCCCATAGAAAAAAGATTATAAGCACAAAGCATTTAAGCTAAAAAAAAAGTCACTTTAAAAAGCATTTACCGATTCCCAGATTTTTCCTTTGATGTTATTTTGACCTTCTTCTTCATAACGGCCATCTTCATAGACCCAGAAATGGGTATCTCTTGGGCATTGTACATTTGCTAGCTGAAAAAAAACAAGCATTTGTAAATTTTGGGCGTAAACATGTAAGAAGAATAACCCAAATTTCAGAAGGAAATATGTAATCGAACATAAATGGAAAAATGCAGCATCAATGAACTAGCCCGCAAGTAGAACACAACACATCAAATAAGTGAGATGAATAATAATTTATAAATGCTTGACCAAATCAAAACAAGGAGTCAAAATGCTCTCTTCTTATATAGCAAACCTCTAATAGTGGCCCAGAATATATCATGGGAAGATCCTATATATAGAACTTACAAATTTAAGTCTTTGATTAATGGATATGCCAGATTCTTATTTTAGCGACTGAATACTCCAATAATTTCATGAAAATTAGCTAATTCACAATTTCATATCATGACATTGCATGATGTAAACAAATCAATGAACTTGACTCTTACACAACTCAGCAAAAAAAGAACCTGAAAGCAAATAAAGTTACAAAAAGAAATAATTATTTTAAAGTGCGACACTGACAAACATATTAGAAGGAGATATAAACAGGATAACACATAGGGGGCATTTATTTGAGCTTTTTGGGCTGAGTTCATTTGAATAATGTGTTCCACCAAACGCGAACAAAACTCGGGGTGATTTCGATTATAATCGCAACGACGGGTATAGGTCGTGTTTGTGTTTCTATCGCGTTAATTTTTCCTAAGTATCCATAGCCATTTTTAGCCGTGCCCTAGCTCTCGCATTTGCCTCCTCTTTGCAAGAATGCCGCATGATCCTCGCGTTGCTGAGAAACCCTATGTAAGAACCGTCTCATCTTCCTCCTCCGCCTCTCTCCTTTTGCAAGTAGAAATAAGTAGTCTTCCCCAATTTTTTTCTTTCAATTCAACACCTTAGACTGATAAAATCGAAGCCTTCGATCATTCTTGTTTTCTATTTTGTTTGCAAAGCCCCTCATTGGACAAAAACCAAACTAGGAGAACCAAATCCTCATTTCTTTCACCTCGTGTCGGTTCTCTAAGAATCCAAGAATCACAACTTTATGCCCATCTCAATTTTTTTCGATTCAATACTTTGTCATCCAAGATCTCACATTCTCCCATAACCACATCACAAACAAAGTGATAGTTTTGTGGTTTCATTGAAGTTTTAGGTCTTACATTTTGCTAATCATAATAAGTTTAGATGTTAGATTTGTAAATTTATAGGAATTGTGTGGTATGTGCGTCAGAAAAAAAAATGTCTAGTGGGATCTCAACGAAAAGTAATGAATTTTGCAAGTTGTACATTCATATGTAACAATGTCATATCTATTATTTGTCCAAGACATGAACTATATGATAAAATTATGTTAAATTTGTAAATTCATAGGAATTGTGTGGTATGTATGTAAAGTTCCATAAAAGAAATCATCCTTTTATTTTTAATGTTTGATAATCATTACCTTGAAAAATTTTATTTGTTTTTTATGTTTTATGGTTGTGATCTTTCTTCACTTTTTTTTGTTAGATTCTTGAAAGGAACTTTGATTTGTTTAATTATTTATTTTAGCTCTTGAAAATTTTGAAAAAGATTAATTATCATCATATGATTGAAAGATTTGAAATCATATATAAATTGGTTAGATATAATAGCAAATGGGCAACACAAGAGACAACACATCATTCGCTATAAGGGAAAAATAAATAAATAAAAAATTTTGACAATTATTTTAAAGATAGTGAATTAAGAAATAGGTCAAAAACATATTTCAACAAAGAAGTTTGACAAAACATTACAAAAAAATTTCATGAGAGAATCGGAAGTTTATATGATGGAACGCAATTAAATAATAAATAGGATTAGTTAAAAAATGATTGGCAAATATGAAAAGTGTTCAAAAGAAGATCTACTGAACATGGCTGGGATCCAATTAAAAATACCATAGATGCATCAACAAGTTGGTCAAAAGGAAAATCAGAGATGAAATAAATTTTAAGACATTTATATTTCTATTTCATTTATAAGAAGAATTATTTGATATAATTTTTACTTTTGATTATATGAATGGAAGACTGTGGCAAATACTGAGAAATTTATGTTTGGTGGAATCGAACATGAGTTAGAGAAGCTTGATCTCAGGTTAGTGAATTTGCAACTCGCGAACATGTTTGAACTCCTCAAGGTTTGCAAGAATGTAGAGAGAACCTAATTGATAATATTCAAAGATCATCACATGAAAAAAATGAACATAGCAATCTAATTATGCTACGAGTCCGTCTTATTTAAAAGTAAGGGTAGATCGCAGTAAAAAATTTGGTCATGCATATCTAAGAAGTCAAATATATATAATAATTAGTTACAGCATGCACAAACTTATTTTTTGAGGCTGTACCAATTCAGCAACAATCTTCACTTAGTCATGAGGTAATAAAAATATTGGAATAAACAAATGAAGTTTATGAAGATAATCCTTTATATCTTTACGCAATGAAGTTACTTGAAGATTCTATTAAGATAAAGATTTTCATATCCATGACATTTGAGAGGAGAGTTCATTAGTTACACTTCTACAAAAATTGTGATTAATGATTCATATTAATTTTATATGCTTTGAGTGAAGCACACTTTATTTTTGTAGAACTATTACTTTTTATGCTACTATTTTGGTAGAACAATTACTCGTTGTTTTTCTACTTGTAATGTGTCATCTCATTTGATACAATGATATTTTATTTTACTTGTGATATCTTCTGTGAACTTGTGATATTTTGTGTTGTGATATTAGTACTTATTATATCTTAAAATGTGATGTTTATAATTGCAATATCTTGTGTTGCAATGTAAGTACTTTTGATACCTTCGGTTATGATGTTTATACTTGTGATATATTGTGTTGAGATGTTACTACTTGTCATATATTGAACTGTTATGTTATTTGTGATATAATTTTTTGGAATCTTATACTTGTGATATCATATGATGTTACATTAGTACTTGTGCTATCATATTCTCAAATACATCATGTGTAATATTTATTGAGTAACAATTTATATTTTACAACAATGAATCCTAATCAAAGAGAACATAGAGAGCGATGCAAAAAAAAAATTATTGTAACCATTGCACTTGCGATGACTGAGTACTATGATTTATAATCTCTCAAACTCCATTGATAACGTCAACATTTAGAGGGGACGTCTGGATAAATAACTGTTTGGGGGAAGAGGGAGGGGGGTTGGTCATCCAATGAGACTCCATAACACGTTTCATATGAGTCAAGTAATCTTTATTGGATTTTTTGAAAGCTACACACTAGTTGCGGTATGTGTTGTTCTTCTAGAACGACTTCAAGGGAGATATTAGTTATAACACTTTACATTTTATCACATGATGAGACTATAAGAGTGACTTGTGAGGGATTTTAACACTCATATGAAAACATAAATAAATATTTTTCAATTAGTGTGAATATTTTGATAAGTATGTCTTCTGAAATTATTAAATTTGAAAATTCAACCTTTCGAAATATGTTAGAGAAATATCAAGAAATCATCAATATATATCATACTTCAATATATATTACAATCATTGTTATGTTTTTAAAAATTCAAATTTTAAAATTTAAACGGATCACAATGTGATATAGAATTGTATTTATGCTACTGATGGGACACATTGATAAACGTGTCAAATGTTAATAAGGTCACATACATTGGATGTAATGATACACCCACCCAGAATATAACGGTACCATGAGACTTTAATATATGTTTTTCTTTTGTCATGACTAATTGGGAAGGTGATACTCACGATAATCGAATCTTTAAGTTTGTAATATGATCCCATCTGCATAAGTTTCCCTTGTCGCCTCAACGTTGGTTGACTCTTAAGTAAGCATTATATTAACTTTAATAATAGAGTAACTAATGATTGACTATTCTAAACAAAAAATATTATTTAATGGATTTTAGTTATCCATTATAAAGAGGATTTTTTAAGCTATTGTTAAACACAAAATATCACATTCCTTACTTCAAAATGACTAGCTAAATTGTACGAAGATAAAAAGAGAAGTTTAGTAAGTGTTGTTCATCCTTATTGAGTGTCATTAAGAGGACTTTTAGAGTTTGGAATAAAAAATAGGTAATGCTACAAGATATGCCTACATATTCTTTCAAAAAATATATTAAAATTGTCAGTACAACAATGACGCTAAATAATTACATACAACCTCATCATTCATTTTAATGTTGACTTTATAAGTAGATAAAAATGAATCAGTGACTTCTGAAGCATATTAATATTGATTGGTTCGATCGATGATGAATATTAATAATGATATTGTCAACCCTTACAAAATTGATCGAAAAGGTTTTGATAAGATGACAAAGTTACGAAAGTAAATTACCGATAATTTAGCTAATGGTTAATTTAGTATTAAATGAATATTTTTTATGAGCGAGTATTATATAATATAACTGAGTGATGCTTGAAGTGCTATTGTATTTAAATAGTTTTTTATATATTCTATGTTTTAATTTTAGTTGAACTGTTTTTGTTTTGTGTGGAAAAGTTCACAGTGGCTTGCAATTATGATTTCACAAGTAAAGTTTGCTTGACTGTCATTCATGGACAACCAATTTGCTTGGCTTATTCCTCTAAACTCTTCTTTTGCATGGGATGGGCAAGATGATCTTCTGGCTGTGGGACTGTTGTGGTTACTAGTTAGTCATTACTTACTATAGTTGACACGATAAGTATTCTTTTATATGTTATCATGTAGGTACAAATAAGCAGATTCTTGTCTAAACTAGGCAGCACAGGTTCATTGGATAGTTAAATCACTTTATCTTCATTATTTTTATCTCATTCTCACTATCCCTTCAACTCTTAACTATACAATTTAACTTTCAGTTTATTTTTGTATTTCTACTAGTTTAATATAATACAGTTAAATCCAAGAATTACATATATCCATTAAACTATGAGTATTATATGATACAAGTAGAGAGATATTTCAAATATTTATTCACAAACAATACTTTCAAAACTACATTTTCCAGATAGATTAACTATTTTTTGAACACCAGCTTTTAGACAGTAGATTTTTCATAACAACTTTTGAACTGAGATTCCATACAGCCACAGCTGTCCCAAACACACCCATAATCACTTATGTAAACAAAAGTACATACCTTTAGCACCCTCAGCTCTGTCTTGGTAATTTCTCTGCCATTTATATAAACCTGAGTGTTTCCTTTGCTTGCATTGCTTGCAAGCTTCCCAGTGAAATTCAAATTTGAACTTACAATTCGATCTGGTTTCTCTCCCTCCTGCCAAACGATAAGGCAAATAAAGCATTAGCAACAAGTCAGTAAAATAATAAACTCTCAAATGTAAACAAGCATAGAACACAGTGTATAACGTGCCTTTCCCCAAAGACCGGATTCCTTGTCATACCAGTAACTTCCAGGCTTCAACTTGTCAGGTGGTAAAAGGCAACCAAGCAGGTCTGCCATCTCTTCTGGCCGCAAAGGACATCCATTAACTATGAGCTGCTCAGGTCTTAGTTGATTAGCTGGACATTCCTTTTCTGCCTTTAATATTTGTCTTACTTCCAAAGGACTTAGCAACCTGGACAATATCCTAGAACTTTTACCAAGCTTAGACCGCTTTGACTCATCAATTGGCTGCCCTATGCACTGTACACACTTGCGCCCCTCTGGCATCGACCCCATGGCTCTAAGTACGCAATTACTACAGTATCTTGCGTCACAAACAAAACAAGATTCTTTTCTCTCCCACTTTCTTTTCCCACAACGATAGCAAACACTGATCTTCTCCTTCCTTGAAACACCAACGTATTGAGGCGAAGCAGATCCCCCAGCATATAATTCCTTACTATTGGGTTTCTCAATACTTTCAAAAGTAACTACGGGTACCCTCTTTACCTCATTCACCAATCGATATGTTGGTCTGCGTGGAGAGCTTTGGGCAGAGGGAGGGCTATGGACAGAACGAGGAGACTCAGAATTTGACGGACCTGAGAACTCTTGATTCTGTAAAACAGAAACAACTGACTCCGAGCTCCCAGAGCCCCTAGGGCTCCGGCGAGAGGAACTGGCATGGCCCGAGAAGGAGGAGACAGTTGGAGGAGTTGGCTCCACAACCTGCAGCCCTCCGTTCTCCACTGGCCGATCTTGGGATCCAGAGATGGGCTCTGCTGTAGGAATGGACCTGTAGCTCAGGCTGACCGGATCAACGCTGGGAAGATCATAGTCAACATCAGGACCATCATACTCGATGGCAATAGAGTAGTCTAGATTAAGTGGACCATCAGGAATCGGAGTTCCAGGTGGTAAAATTCTTTTCAACATCTCCTCCCAACGATTCCCTTCCATGGTTTCAGCCATTCTCACAACAGACTTCTCTTTTCACTAACTCAGATGCTCAAAGGTAACTAATTTAGCTTTGTGAAAGAAGCATGAACATCAAAAACAAATGAAATCTCAGGGAAGTCAAAACCAGGACAGGAAAATAAATGAAATCCGGAGGAACTTTCGGCTAGAACGAATCGGAAGCACTGCTATTGCAGTAGCAGCGAGAACGATGCCAGTACCAGCGAGAACGATGCCCCAAAAACGAGCAAAAGAGTACCTCACAGCGAAGACTGAGCGGATGCCGGTCGGCTACAGAAACCGGTCTAGCCAAAAAAAAAAAAGCGGATGCCGGTCGGCTACAAAAACCGATCTAGCCAAAAAAAAAATCCTCGTCAGGGTAGAGTATGGCAACCAAAGCCCTAGAGCAAAGAAACTGGAGACTAGATCATAGATCTGGACTCTTGCAGCCTCGGGTATCTTCGAGGTGCAGAGACGGAGACAGAAGAGAGATTTGAAAAAAGCATAATATTCCTGGTAAGAGTTAAATTTGGAAGCATTCTTCAAATTTTGAGTTTGAAAAATTCGGTCCACTGTAATCTATTTCAGCCGGCGGAAAGTCAAAACGACCGACAATAATTATAACTAAACAAATAAAAATAAGTTCAGCAGATTTTTATTAAAATTTCACCAGCATGATTATGATTTAACATGGGAAGAGTGGTAATAATAGAAATGGACATTTACATACATATTAGATAATTCTTATGTATTTATATATCGCACACCACGATTTTTATAATTTGACAAACGTCACCCAAAAATTTAATAGCACTATTATAAATTTTTATATAAATTTTCAAAAAAAAATTTTTTTTTTTTTGCATATATGTTTATGCATGTAAATTAACAATAATAATAATACTATTGTATAAATCATACTCTGAAGTTAAATTGAAGGTGGAGCAAATAAAAAGATAAATTCTAATCATTTTAATTTAAAAGTTGAATTAATAACTACAATTTATAAAGTAAATATTAAATAAAATAATTATACACAAATTTAAATTCATAAAATTAAATTTCTTAAATTCAAAATAAAACTATACATAGTTAAATTTTAATTAAAATAATAATAAATTTTAAGAATAATTGCAAGCATAGCACCCAAAACATTGTTATTTATAAAATCTAGCAACCATGTGATATTTTTGAACTATCGAACATATGTACTTATATGTGTCATGATCAAACTATTGAGAATTTGATAAAAATGAAAAATATTGGTTGCATTCTATCATGAATTTTGATATTTGAGTGAGAATTTGAAAAAAAGTATCAAAATGGGAACTAGATTTATAAATAGCAATGCTTCGAGTTCTATTTTGTAAAAATTAAGTTTTAAAATAATACGATGCATCATAGCTAAATATTTAATAAAGCAAATTTATTTTTATTAATGAAAAGTATTTTCTATGACATGTTTAAATTTAAGGAGGTTATATATACACAATATACAATTCTTATATATTTACATTCCAAGAACTTAAATTTTAATAGTTATTATGTAACACTTCATTGCCATGATTACATCAAAATACTTTTAAATTATTAATGTTATTGAATTCTTTTATGTGATGTCAAAAATTTGAGTTCCATACAATTAAATATCAATTTTTTGTTGTTATATATAAAATTACATAAAAATTATGTGGAGCGTTACATTTAAAGTGGCATTTACATACATACCCAAAATTGTTATGTATTTACATATAGCTAAACTTTAATATTTAGATTTATAATAAAAAAAAATAATACTACATCAAACACATCTCTTTTACTAAGTTTTAAAAGACATTCACATTCTTATCCATAAGTACCTAGTAAAAATAAATTATAGTGTAAAAATGAAACTTCAGTTTTTAGATATGTAAATTCATAAGAGTTGAGTGGTGTGGTGCATTTGTAAATTCCCCATTTAGATAATGATATGTAGGTATCATAGGCCATAGCTAGATAATATAGTTGCACTTTCAAAAATTATAGTTATGGTGTATCAAAAATGCGTCAGAATGAATCTCGAGGAAATCCAACAAACTGAGAAATGAAAGTAGCCAAGGATGGCCTAGAGAAGAAGGACTAAATGTCTCATCATTAGAAAATCGAAAAACTTAATTGAAAAGTGCAGATCCATTTGATCAGGATTCAAAGCCGACATAACGTAGACCGTCTGAGCCAATGATCAAGATTTATCCTGTCAAGAGAAGGTTGTAGCCCAACTCTCGCTTTATCATCTCTGTCTACCTCATAAGAGCCTTTGGGACTCTTTATTGTGAGGCTGAAGGTTTTACCATAATATACTCCATGAACACCTTGAAGGATTTTTTGTTAAGGTATGACCTATATGTCGAATAATATTGATTCATTTTATGCCCACCAGCTTAGTATCATCCTGGCAACAGAAGCTCCTCATCTAGGTGTCAATACTTAACAGATGGCCAAAGCAGTCAATCGATAGTCTCAAGTCAAGCGATCTAAGTCCGAACGACCGAAGATTAACAGAAGTCAATCAACAACCCCCATCTCATCAAGCGATCTAAGACGAACGAGCCTTGCCAAACTAAGGCGTGCTATTCTTAGTTGTTGAGTAATAGTTCTGTTGTTCTGTTGTTCTGCGACGGCAGCACTGCCCTTGGCGTGATCGGCGTTGAGCGCTTCTTCAAAAACGTCATTTTGACTCCAAATTCCATTCTTTTTGCTTCCTTTTTTGTTTAATTCCTAAAAATCAACAACATGCAAGAAAATATCAAAATACATTCCATTAAGGTGCAATATCACAAAGGTGCAATATCACACCATTAAGGTGCAATATCACAAAAAAATAAGTATAAAATATTGGTCTAAAAATGCATATATTTTCGGTTTATCAAAATCCCTTAAACTTTCATGTTACTTGTCCTCAAGTAACCCCTCTGCTACATAAAAATATTATTTATGGTAAAGAATTTAACTTTTAGACTTTCATATTTAAGCTTTCTAAACATAATAGTATAACATAAGAAAAATTTAAAACAACTCCAGTTAATATTAAAGGTGCTAGGATATTCAGTAATTAAGTCTAAGATTTCTGATCTTCTATTTCTTTCAAGAAAAAAATACAACTTTAAGGTTAGAAGACTTAGAAAATTCATATAAAAAAGAACTTCATAAACTTTATTAATCATTAAGCTAATACATTAAGCTAATACTCAAATATACTTAAATACAAGTTTAGAGAATGTAGCCAAGCCTTTTTCCTTAACTTGATTCAAGTGAAGTCAATTTTTTATTAGGTAGGCATCTCCTTAAGCTTCTCCCCACATTTTTTTTTCTTTTTTTTTTTTTCTCCTTTTTTTGTCTCTTTTTTTCCCTTTTTTCTTTTTTTTTATGTATGTGAGGATTATTATATCTAGATAGCCTTTAATGATTTTGAACTTCACTATCCTCTTCTTAAAGTTAAAATTTTTTTACATGAATCTTTTAAGATTTTAATACTTCAAAAATACAAATTCCTTTACTTAAAATAGAAAAACATACTCTTATTCTCTTTTACCAAATATCTCAGTCTCTAGAATTAACCTTTGTTATTGTAATTTTTTACTTAAATTTACTATATATTTAGAAACATAAATATAGTTATCCAAAGTTAACCCCTAATACCAAAGATCATGTTAAATTTAAAATTTTTGAAAATATAGTTAAGTGAGGACAAATAAAATTAAGTTCTTTCTTTT